GCAATTCACTAAGTGGAATATTTTACTTATCCTCCTGGCGTTCCTCGGGGCACGGCCACCTTCCGTCTATACATATTGAGATACATCGCTAACATTCATTATCACAAATACCTTTTACCTTATTCTGCCGATACTAGATCAAGAGGGATATAGGGTGAATACGACCTACTTTCGTGATATACTTTTGTTCCGTGCTTGTTGATGAGTTTTACTGAACGTTACACAACACAGAACTGACATTCGTGTAACGAACATCACTGAATTTAAATGCAAGCTCACACGATGCATCACGTCAGCGAATGCGGAAACAGTGGCGTCGCCCGCCACCCATCCCACCGAAATCTGTCGCCATATTTCAATCGCTGAATTGACACATCGCTTTTCGAAACCATAAACTTTCACGCGACAAACTTTAACCGAACATATTTACCTAAGAAATTCCACGGTACAGATATCGACTTATTTGACGAGTAAAAACTTATAGATAGGTCATGCTCCAACCGGTGTGGAACTTTTCACATAAATTGGCGGTCATTCGACGCGAATATGCTGACTGAGGGAGTAACAAATATGCCAAGTTAGGTTGTTATAACAGCGATATGTAAGTTTTGTGATACTTCGCCATTAAGTTTATGGAAACGACAGCCGAGATTACATCGCACTTTCCGAAAGCTTTGCGTAATTCTTTTCTATAGCCTGTTGAGACCGATTGATATCTCTGAAACAATATGATTTACTTTATATTCATTTATGTTTAATGTAAATTTAATTTGCCGAAACGTTCTTGTAAACTGTTAACGTAATCTGTCAGAGATGATTGTAATATAATTAGGGATCAGTTTTCACATAGCAGTAGTCATGACAATATCACATTAAAATGATTAATTTTCGTGAAACCGCCTTGGGTGTTGCCGGTAATACTTCTTAACGAACGATTAATCTTGTTCCATGCAAACACACTCATTGTACCAGGTTCCCGATATTTTTTCTGTCTTACACAATACCATTAGGAAACTGCTGGGTGTAGTTGGTCGTGCTCGCTTCCCACCGACTCGTTGAGCCCATTGAAGGATTCAAAAGGTGTTTGCGTACAGCTCCAAGAAAAACAGATCTCCCCTCGGTTTGAAAAATTTCGTCATCACTTAGCCTTCGATAGTTATTACGTCGCGAATGAAATGTTTTAATTCTCCATCGTCATTCGCCCACAATGAATCTTTATCTTCGGAGAATTTCATACAGTCATTCTTTGTTCATAAACTAGGAGAGAGATTTTTGAAGACCTTTTATGCACTTTCATTTATCTTGTATGCAATTCAAAAACGAAAAATATTACCGAGGAGACTGAATGAATAATTTCGATATGAATTCATAATAAAGTTAGTGTGTAAAAAATGGTTTTATTTTAAACTAGCGGAAGACATAAAATCCGTATCTTATTTCAATTATAAAACGCATATTGGCACACTGTAAGGCATCTTGGGTGGGGTCAAGAGCGGCTACTGTCAAATTTAGATCTGGGCAGTCGCCAAGTACGCGACCGTCTCTATTCCACGATCATATTATAAGTTTAATTCTCATATTGTCCCACCAATTAGTGATACACTCCAAATTAAAATTACTCAAACATTGGTCCACGGTAATCAATAATCAATATATTTTTTTGATTTTTCATTTAATATGATTAGTACATTAAAATCTGTTTAATAAACATACATTACCTTTTCAATAACTTCCTACGTGATCGAAATAGTTTAAGTCCACTACCTAGTAGGACTTATAAAAGTAAATTAAAGAGAAGCACTGAAAAAATTAGGTGCCCATAAATAATATATACGCATTGTTACATACTAAACAATAATTTGAGTAAATTGTATCCGGTTGTCCCAACTCAAGGAGATTAAGTATGGATAAATAAATATTTAATGCTGTTTCAAGGGACAAACTGTTTATTTGTATTATTTTTTACGTAATATTGTGAACTAAAATATTATGCTAATATATTTTTTATAACTTTTCCGTCAAACCATCACATACAGAGGTGATGATCGTCCCGTTGACAATCCTTAGACGTCTCAAATTGAGATATCCATAAAATGTATCTGAATGACGTATTTAAATCAGGTCGCCACAGATTCCGACCTCGATTCAATCAAATTACGCAAAATTTCAATGTTCTATTAACTTAAACTTTGCTGCGGTGGCTTAAGTGAATTTATTTATATTTAGTTATCGCCTTTTCGAAAACTCATCTTGCTAACGTTTCGGTAAGTTGAATAATTAAATTTGTCAGTGTCGGTTGACACGGCGTGGATTTTCTTCCGAATTTTCAATGGTGTCACGTCTATGACTCCCGCCTCCCTTCTGACTTGTATTGTGTTATCGTGATTCTACAATTTGAATTATTTATTGTTTAACTTCACACTTCGGATTCTCTGAATAGACTCGGTTTCGATACAATTTCAACTAAATCACGAAATAAATATTCAAAGTGAAAAGTTTCTTTAATACAATATACGTAATTAGATCGGCCTGATTTAATATAACAAATAGATTTTAAACACAAACAAATATATAACACCAAGTTTCAAGTACTTAGTCTGTTTACTAATAAGTTATACGAAAACTTCATTATCTCCAGAAATTAAGCGAAAATTCTTAATATGATATCTTACCAATACTAACTGTTTAGTTGTTAAACAAATAATATTATACAAATGCTCTTGACATTATAAAAATCATATGAAAACTCTTCATAATAATCGGATAATGCATTTGAAGTAATGCTCTTAAGAAAGTCTTGTTCAATAAAACACTTTAACATTGAAATAAGTTATATTTTCGCTTTATTGTAATGCATTTTGAAGGCCCCTGCACTCCAAGTGTTGCGTTGTTTCACTGAATTATTCAATACTCCATCGTTTAGATCATTTCGTTTCCACGTTTTATAAAATATTCTTTCGCGAAGGTCACAATAAATCTCTGCGTACATTGAAAATACGATAATGGGTCCTTATTATTAAATGTATTAGTTTTTTTATTTTTCATCATAGCGTTTTTATTCTCGAATCAAAACGAGATAATATAATCGGATATCCGTCGTTATCCACTAACCTAACAACGACGTGATAAAATTTTCTGGAGTCATAAACTAAGGAAATCATAAGCCATTGATTTTGAAGATTGTGTAACACGGTATTATAGCATGGAAGTTTGACAAAATTTAAGTCGGTGGAGCATTAAAGGGGACGGCGACGGAGACGGTTAATTCACCCCATAAGGGTCGCTGTGGCGCCAAAGATCCTGCCGTACACAAAATTCTAAGTACGATCTCGTACGAACCTCGTCCCCATCCTTCTTGAAACTAACTCCGCTATAACATGTAAAGGAAGCATCGTTTCATTTTCTATGCATTCTCCTGACGTACTATTAAGAAATTTCTTTATATGAAACAACAAGTTCATCCTATTTATTTCGTAATAAATCTGTCATACAGATTTTTATACTGATTATAATTTGAAGAAATAACAAACAATGTAGCTTATCATTATAACTTTATGGTTTCCATGTAATTGTATCCTGTAACAATATTTAGTGTAGCGTGAGAAAAATACGACCACATAAAATATAGTAAATTAAAGAAAAAGTAAATAAATCCGGAACCTACGTGTAGAGAACGTGATGCTACAGTAGCAGAAAATTAGATTAAGTTTAGAGCTACAGTAGTCACTGACATCGGGAACAAAGAATTATATATTGGAACATAAAAGTAACACAGAGGCATCGCTTTTGCATATTTCATACATTAAATCTGTACAATCAACGTTTAGTATATACAGCACGCCGCCGCACACGTCCACACTTGAAAACTTGGAACGTGTCCACACTTTATTTATTTATACGGAAATTTGGTCAAAAATTAAGTACCTATTTTTTTTACATAATTCGAATGAGAATCATGTACCGAGTATGCTCCTTAAATATTGATAGTAATTCACCAGTCACCCTGTATAATATAACGTCCAAATTATGTAGTGTAAATTCTTGGTAAGGGCTTTTGGCGACAAATCCATCAGTGTGTCGACAGGTCATTTGTTGCGTGTGTTTTCACGCTTGATGAACGACGCAACTTGTCTACGTTTGGTAGATTTATACATCCAACTGTTCTGAGTTTAAGTTAACAAAGAAAATATTCTTAATATACATATAATTAAAATATTAAACTAGCCTAACAGTGCTTACGTATGTAAATTTATATTTTATGAAGATTAAAATAAAAAGTTCTATTCTTTTTGTTTGAAAAATTAACAAATGTACATCTGTAAATATTTTGACATAAATTTATATTACATATAGAGTATATGTAATATAAAAATATTCATTTAATAATTATGTATACTACTTAAAGAACAGTTTTGACAAAAATATTAGTTCCTTAAATCAAACCTCTCTGATTTTATTAATAAAATAATGTAACCGAAAAATGTAATAAATTATTCAATAAAAATTATAATACATGCAGATCAAAATTTCTCCATGAGCTTCCGATAGATAGCATCCTGTTAAATTGCGCGTGAAGACGATAAAATATTCTCGTTTTACGGGCAATGTTTTTAACAATTTTTTAGATTTAACTAAAAGATCTAAATATAGAGAAATGACTGATACGAAAATGTGGTAGCTCTTAGGGCACGCAAAAATTATTTATGGGTTCTTTTATTGCTAAACTTCATTCGTTGCTGTGGTTGCTTTTATTCCTTCAGCGGAAAAAGTTGTGAGATTTTATTACCGGTGTGAGATAGGACACGTTATTGCACTAACTTTGAGACGGAATTAAAATAGATTTTTTGCGTTCAACCGTAACAATATACGATTATATTGAAGTTTTATGGTACACTTCTAAAAAGTTTATATGATAATTCTACAAAAACAGCATATAAAAAAGGTTATTTCATGTCCTATGATATAAAAAACGGATTTTATTGAAGTGGTATTCTTTGCAGAATTCAATTCGCCACAATCTGTCGCTGCACAATCGTTTCATGCGGGTACAGAACGAGGGTACAGGAAAATCATCATGGTGGATGATCAACCCCGACGCAAAACCAGGGAAATCTGTCAGAAGGCGAGCACTCTCCATGGAGACATCGAAGTCAGAAAAAAGGAGGGGCAGAGTTAAGAAAAAGGTCCTTAAAAAATTCATGTAAAATTCATATATTTATTGTCCTAGCTAAATATTTTTCTCATTTAAACAGCCTGAAGCCTTGAGAAATGGAGTCGCAGCCGATGCTACACCCAGTCCTAGTAGTTCAATATCAGAAAGTGTGGACCTATTCCCAGATTCTCCAATACACAGGTTTGTAGATCAAATAGTAATTTAGAACGATAATTAGCTTCTAGAATTCATATTAGTATTAGATCTAGCTGCTTTTAAATAGTCCAAAGAGGAAGGAATTATTATGCAATTATGCCAACTGTTTCGTTGGTTTTAAATTCACAATAATTTTGAGGAAAGTTTAAATCAAAGATTTATTAAATAAAGTACTCACAGCCATTCAAATATCTCGGATAAATGTCCACAAAAACCGTCGATTGACAAGAATGACTGCGCTAATAAAATTGAGTTATGCGTATACTGTAACTTTATGATAAAAGGTTTTAAATCATTCAGACCATTAGATGATGAGTTATGCGAATGCTGAATCTCGTCATGCCTACAATATTTAACATTTTTATTGGCGAATATCTGTCACAATTACCAACATAATTGACATTTTCCTCGGACATTCTGTATCCTCAATGGCGACTAGGCAGCCCTTAGCAACTCTAAGTAATATTTTTACCATAGTTTTCCCACATAAAATATTTCCTATCTGACCATTTTACTCGTTAAGATGATCGCTTCACTTGGCATACATGTTAACGGTCCTTTATATAGACATTAGATTTGCATGATGTTCCTTTGAGTTTATCATATTATAGTGGATACATTTAGACATAGACGGCGAAGCTGAGTTTTGTTTCCGCTAATAAATTCTGATTATTTGCAACTGCAAATATCGATGACAGACGATCGTGTCTAACCGTGAAATCAGGTCGATATTTGATAGATTATATTTTTTTATGCTTTTTTTGCTTTGCGTAGCGGCAGCTTTCAGCTGTCACCGGATTTCCGTCAGAGGGCGCCGTCGAACGCTTCATCATGCGGTCGCCTATCACCGATACCGTCATTAATACCATCAGAGCCAGACTGGGCGACGGATTACACGCCCGCTGGAGATTTTACATCGACCAGTGATTTCACTCAAGCGGACTACGCTCAAGACGAATTAGCTGGAACCCTCGCTGATTCGATGAAGCTTCACGGAGCCGACCCATACCTTAATACGTAAGATAACGTTACGCTGCTATTGAGTAGTTCCCATTCACTTTATCAATGTAGAACGTGCCCGTAGAAGCTTCTAGATTTATGTCTCATAACATTCTCTTTCAGACAGTACTTTATACAAGCTGCACGTCATGTAAAATGACAGTGAAGTTCAAAATATATCCTTTTATAACAATGATTTTAAATAAACATAAATCAATCTAACCAAGGCAATAATTATATCCTCTAATCAGGTATGTACCAACAACATCATCGTCTGGTAACTATCGCTTCCCGTACACATGTTTGCGGCACCCACACGGTGGCTGTGCGTGTACATCTCTGTACCCCGCTCACCCCGCACACACTCACGACCACTTTGTACGACCACCGCCGCCTGCTGACTCCGCGGATATCATGCAAACAGGTAATATATGACTTATAACAGCTATAATATAGAATAGGCTGTAGAAACAACTAGTCCTATATATCACATAAGTTACAATACCAACTTGAAAAACATCTAACGATTCCAATCTGGAATTCGTACTTGCAACTTCTAGAATTTCCAAACTTAAAATCGCTTTCCAATTAATATATTTAGTAACATCGAGGACGAAGAACGAATATTAATCGAGGCTCCATATTCGCAAATTACAACCAAATTTTGCAAGCTTACATTAATTAACAAACATGTTATAGTTAATTTGTGGTCAGTAAATTTTCTATCTGACACAGAAAACAGCCAACCTCAAATGGTGACGACGGATGCGGCGCTCATGAATGGGGGTATTATGGTGCAACCGGGGGCCATGGGGCCTACGACGGTCATGGGACAGATCATGGGGGCCCTCAACACTGGACTCGCTGAAGACTTAAATATTGAAACCTTGGAACATAGCTTTGATTGTAATGTCGAAGAAGTGAGTATTAATACGGTTGTAAAAATAACTAAGTATTATTAGTTGGAGAAACTAAACAAAAGTATCGATAATCTTCTTATTAAATTTCGATAATCTTATGAAGATTGCAATTGATAATAATTATATGAATATTTTTACTCATCGTATTTTTCTTTAATACAAATTAGATCAAGCAAAGTCGCGATCAAAATCTTTATCTTACAGAAGCGATAAAAACCGGAATCTAAAGACTTATACTATAACGTCTTTGAAATTGTGGAAAATTCCTTAATTAAATATGTTATAAACCATCTGCTGCTGTCATTTTATCATATATCATGTATAATATAAAAGATGCATACAAATGTATTTGAATAATATTTACATATTCATAAATTATCACATAAGAGAATTATAGAAAATTTTATAGCTATAATATATTTAATTATGTGAATTTATTTTTTTTATGTATTTTAATACAAAGATGTATATCAGGTAATCAACCACGAGTTAAGGATGGATGGGACCTTGGACTTCAATTTCCAACAGGGAATGGCCGCTGAGGCCGAGAGTCAGTTCGTGGCCCCCGCTCCGCCAGTCCCCACGACACTCTCCGGCGGGGGGCCTCCGTATTCCGTGGCCCCCTCTTGGGTCCATTGAACATTTAGCTAATATCGTTATAGTATAGACCTAATTCGTTAGGCTAGAATCCTTTCGATGTAAATACGACGCAAACAGTTCTCTGTTCGAGTTTGTTAATTTTGCATTGTAGTCGAGATTTTTTTTTTGTTTATTATATTGTTAACTAATGTTAGATTTTTATTTAGCGGTTAATATTAAGCGGTTACCGATCGTTGTTAAAGTGTCAATTGTGTATGTAGGTTAGATGTAAGTTAGGTGGAAGCTTGTGATATGAGTAGTTTATTATAAGTTTACCGAGAGGGGGCCCCGAGTGAAGCGAAGTCTGCGGATGGAAAAAGGTAAAAAATATTTTATACATATATAATATATAGCTTAAATATTAAATACAATACATAACAGAGGAAGGACAAATTCGCGAAAAGTTTTTAACAGTTACGATGAGTAATAAAGAACTAAATTTTATTCCAAAAAACCCTACGTATATACTGTCTTACACTTAAACTTACGTACTTAAACGAGTAGTCATATGCCAAAAATGCCTTTCAACATTAGAACTCTTAAAATACTGAAACGATGTTAAACAAGCTACTAAGAAACTGCGAGGAAACTGAAAAAGTGAAAAAAAATATTGAAAGGGGTCAGTCGTTTAAGAGCTATGGTACCATTGATAGATGAACACTAACACACGCAAATCGAAATGAAACTTTTAACACCCATCTTATTGCGTTATGGATTAAAAATATCAAATATTTTCATCGACTTGTCTCTGCTCCTGTATTAATAAATGTAAGATAAAAGACAAGTTAAAAACAGTATATTAAACAACAATACAGCCAGTAATAAATCCTTCTAATATCAGCGTTAATCCGACTAAGTTTCGTACGTTAGCGTCCAATAACTCAGTCTCGTTGGTATCTCTTACAAACTATAACTTTATTGTTTCGTCCAAACAGGACTGCGATCTGACCCCATTTTCGAGTATTTAAGACTACGATAGAACCGAAAGTTTTCTACGCTTTGCACTTTATTTTCTATTTCATTTTTGAAATATTGTTCGAGATAAGCGTTATTTATAACGCACAAAGATGTTGATATAACCCGAAACTTACGGTGTTAGAAATAGTGTCCATTATACTGATTAGTTCTAAAACTATGTATTTACAATTTTACGTAAAACATTATGAATGACGTCAAATGGAAATGAAAATCTTATGTACAATTATATATGAAATGTATACACAGGAACTAAATAACCCTTTATATATACACATAAGTTTTTATGGCAGCTATACAATGGAGAAAATGCGATAGCTAGGAGTCTTTGTGCGTGGATTATGACACGTGATCTCTCTTTATTTATGGATAGCGGGCGAGATTGACGTGACTGTACCGAGTGTGTAAGATGAACCTAATATTAGACAATAGAACTAATATACAAACATACTAGTAACATAACACCACGCATATATATAAATATTTAATTGAAACTAATATTTTTCGGATATACTTTCCCACTTTATTTTTGTAAAAAACTACATCATCTCATCTGCCCGTGATCACGGTTGCTGAAAAGTAGCCGAAACGTCGAGAGTGTGCAGTTTTTTACAAAAGTAAAAACGCGTAGTATAATCCGAAAAAGATTAGTTTCATTTAAATGAATAAAATTCGTGAAGATCACATGATGTTTCAGTCGCTCATATAATTAAAGCACGCAATTAAATAATTTTATATGCGTTCAAAACACGGCAAAAATTTGATATAATATACACAAACATATTTTAATAACCACTTAATTTTTCCCTAATAATAAGATCAGTACCATCGAAGGACTTACGAAAGTGGCTTGTTTTTCATACAAAGCCTAAAAAATAACTATATACACTATTGAAACCATATAAGATGTATATAAAGTTTATAAATCAAATATGCCGGATAAATAAATAGTTGGCTGTTAAATAAATGATGTCGCATGATAGATTATAATAGTTGTATAATAATCGGTATTAAATATATATAATTGATTATAATGAGTGAGAACGTTTTTGCTACCGACGAATACCAGTCAACATTGACCTTTAGCTCTGCTTGGCCTTTGTTTGCAAATTATATTAGATTATGGATAAATGCTAGTTAGGTGAACAACCCGCTGCGGAGTACCGACTTTTAATTAACGTCGCTTTATATAATATTTGAGATTATAACACACACACACCCACGCACACACACAAACACACACACGCATATGTTTGTGTGATGGTCTTATACATACAGGTAATATATAAAACTACATATTTTTACATCACAAAAGCACTATCAGAGAAAAATATTTTTAATTGCCGGTAAGAGCACGTAATTTTTTTTAAACCTCTTATACGAGTCTTATATGTCGAATTTACATTGTTATTGAATACTTAAGTTATGTAATGATAGTGAATACTTATTTCAATGATAAAATTAATGAGAACGGAATTTTTTCATAGCCACTTCAAAAAATTATAAAACTTGTTTTTCTAACAACATCCACCTACTATTCATTTTATTTATATATTTATCCAATTCTAAATTACATAATAAATAGGCATCTAAACAATAAACGAGACCAAACACAAGTAAACCAAACACTTTCTTATATAAAAATATCACAGTTTTTGCTATAACCACTTATTCTGATAATATTTCTTAAATGAAAACTCTTTACATCTTCTATATATATATAAATGGATTGCTGTTCCTTAGTCTCGCTAAAACTCGAGAACAGCCGAACGGATTTATCTTACTTTAGTCTTGAAATGTTCGTGGAGGTTCAGGGAAGGTATAAAAGCTGAAAAAAATTGATTCATTACTGGGAAAACCATAAAAACAGCCCTTTTCTATTTCCCATACAAACGTTTTTTTTTTGACATTAGATTTGACAACTAACTAATATGTCAATCATTCTGTTACACTTCAAAACACGGAGATTTATGGCTTACAGATAAACTTCAAAAATATAAATAAAAAAACGTAAGAGATACTTTTTGATTATAGGGCGATACGAAGTTCGCCAGGTCTTCTAGTACATAATAATTTTCGATGTTTGATAGTGCACATAGCAATGACTTATGTCGCGTCCGTCAGATAAAAGATACATAATGCTGTAGGAAATATTAATTTGATCGTATGATAATTTTTGTTAAAGAGATTATAATTAGTCTAGCTAGTATATTAAATTCAAGCTTCAAACGAATATAGGAAAATAATTGAAACAAATAATGTATTTATTGTATTGTATCCAATATATTAAAACGCTACAATTATTTAATACTCAACATATGACTGCGAGAAAATCATAAATTGCTCTAATTTTATATCAGGCGTTCTGTATTTATAAATAACAAAATAAATCCATTTGTTTTTGACATTTAATTCTATCAAATTGAAATCCTCGTATTATATTTATATAATTTCATAATAATAATAAATTAAAAATATCCGTCGATAACGAATTGTTTTGAACATAAAACAATGCGTCCGCGGCCGGATCATTTGTCATTAGCGGAGTCATATGAATATTAATAATAATTAGATCTGTATTGAACGTGCTATACGAGCATCGTAATTCAATTTCACCACTGAATAGTCCTATTTGTGCGCTAATGAGGGGGACCGGAGCTAGTAATTAATCATATCATTTTTAGAGCGGTGCCCGTCTCGCTGGGACGAACGATCGCCTCCAAATAATGGAATATTAAGAAAAAATCCTCTGAATACGACGCTAGATTAAACCCCGCTTCGGTAATGACTTGTTTTTAGCGTAAAGAATACGTCTTAACCAGGCGGTGGGGATTTTTTTTTGTTAATTTTTTAATACTTCCACGATAGAAGGTAATGGGTGGTGAAAACGGTGTTTTTTATGACTTGAGACTTTACAATTAATTTTATATATAGTTTGGATTGTTGGTTACTTTAAGTATCAATTAGGATCTAACGAAACTTAAATTAAGTAAGGCTTAACTTTCATGTATTATAAATAAATAAGATCTTATTAATAGAAATCTTTTAAATTTAATCGAATCTTACTTCAATGAAGCGAATTGAACCGTAAACAATGATGACTTCCAACACTCGACTTATAACATTTTATATTAAACTCCGGTTGTTCATCAAGGGTCGTTTAAATTTCGTAACTCATTCCGTATTCAAGTCGGCTGATATAATTAGGTACTGGACCACCTTTACACACGATTTCACGGCACTTGTTAAAAGTTTTCAATTGCGTTACGAGGGGGGGTTCGCACGGAATTTATTCATTATATTCCAGGTCCCCCCTCCCCCCACCTCGACCCCCTACTTAATAAAACTCTCCTCTGCTATCTTTTTATTTCCTCTTGTCCCCTTCCAGTCAAGTATTTTAAATATTTGCCGCATGCTCTCCCAAATGAGTGATGAATTATACATTTATCTCATAAAATTTCGTTCATTTTTATTAGATTTTTTTCTTCGTTCTAATAATTCGTAATTCGATAACGTTTCCATGTAATTTGGTACAGCCGCGATTTAGTTGAATTGCATCACACAAAAAGTCCATAAGCTTATTAAAGTCGGTATTTGAATATTGTTTCAGAGTCTTCATAGTCTATTTACATGGTGATGTTCTAACGTCAATTTTAAAAGTTGTTTCGCATTCAGGCCGTGTCCGCGCGATGGGTACAGCATATCCAACAAGTTGCTACTTTATTGTTCGACGTACCAAAGTAGATCAGCTATTTAAATGACGTAGATGGAATCACTGTCAATTTTATAGCACGATAGACGTTATTTCAAAGATAATAAACTTTTATAACCATTTTAAATGTTTTAAATATTATAAAAATAATTTAAATATCTGCTGTTTATTTATATGGCATTTGTTACTTTGTATAATTTGTTTTAGCGGTTGTATCAGGGGAGGCTGTAAATAATTTAGTAAGGACTTTATAATACTTGGTTGACGTCTGTTAGCAAATTGGATTAGGAGAGTGGCTTTTATTATAGCGAAG